CAGCTTCTCTCCACTTGCTGTGATGTGGCTGGGAACTGCCTTAGGCAGAGCCCTGAGACCTCCACATCTCCTCTTGGCTCCTGTGTGTGGCTTTGGGTGGTGCAGTGCAGCATTCCAGCTCTGAGGAATGAAGGACAACATGGAAGAAAAGCTCTGAGCTCAGGTGGCCCCTCATGTCCTGCTCAATAGAATCATGGAATCATTAAGCTTGGAAAACCCTCAAAGACCATCAAGTCCAACCATTCCCCCAGCACTGCTAAGGCCACCGCTACCCATGTCCTCAGGTGCCACATCCACATGGCTTTTAAACCCCTCCAGGGATGGTGACGCTACCACTGCTCTGGGCAGCCTGTGCCAATGCCTGACCACCCTTTCAGTGAAGAAATTTTCCCTAATATCCAACCTAAACATCCCCTGGCACCACTTGAGGCCATTTCTATCTATCACTTCTTCGGATTCCAGCAGTCAGTTTATTGTCCTTCCCTTTTAAGATGCATCAGATTCCTTCCTTAGGAATTTTGACAGCTGTAGCTGTATGATCTGTTCTACCCTTGCAGTCACAGGAAGGTTTTGTCCAAGAGATATCCAGTTTGAGACATAAAACAGCCTCATCTCTGTGTACATGAATGCTGAGTGTCACTGGCAAAACCTCTCAGTCCATTTCTGAGGGTTTCCTCGTGTGGGAAGACTTCCCTGAGATAAATAAGGAAAAATGTTGAGTAACTCAGCCAGGAAAGAGGCTCCTTCATTGCAATTTCCACTATCAGAGCAAGGTAACCAGTCCTGGCACTGGGCAGAGGGAACTGGGAGCTGCCCAAGGGTAAAAGGTGGCTGAGAGCATAACAGAGGCTGAACGAGGAAGCTTTAAGCCTTGAACAAATGTTTTCTGAAAGCATTATTTAAAGCATCCAAACTGTAAACATCCATCTTTTCTCACCACTGGAAGTGGTTTTGGGTGCGTACCAATGATTTCCAACTGGAAAAGCCTATTAATAAAAGTTAATTACAGCCTCACAGAGGATGAGTTTGGATGCTTGGCCACAGCTGCTACTTCCTGGGAGTGTCCACAGTGATCACAGCAGAACCTGGGAGCTTCCTACCCAAGGGACTGGGGTGGGACTGACCCTTGTGTCTCTATAAAAGCTTAACATTAAGAAGCACTGGGCCATATCCTCCTTTCTGCTGCCCATGGCTGTGAGATGCCACTCCTGCACGTCCCACACGTGTCCTCATCCCTCTTCTCCATCAGAGCCAGAAGCAGAAATGCTTACGTTGAACTGTTATTTCTGATGCTGGAAGGGAGGTTTCCATTTTCTCTGCATTTTACTCTCTGCCAGCCCTTGTAACGTGGGTGTCTCCTCATCCCCAGCAGTGGGGGAACCTGCTGACAGCAACCTTGTCACTGCTGCAGCTGCAGCCACAGGCACTCCCTGGGCAGGGACAACCTTTGGGGAGCACACACAAACCCAGGCCAGGGCACTTCACACAGAATCCCATCAAGGGCTGCTTGAAAAACATTCATACTTTTTTTTTTTTCTCTGAATTTACCTTTTGGGAGAATTTTTTTATTCCCTGTGCCAGAATTTTTATCCCTATGTCAAAATGCTGTTGTAAGTCGTCTGAGCGGGGGGTGAAGGTGTGAGGAATCAGACAAGACTGTTATTAAGTCCTGGTTTTGCCTTGACTAATATTCTGCTCCCAAATCAGTGGCAGGATCCCTGAGCAATGCAGCCTTTATCCCTGTGTGGTAGGGCTTGGGTTGGTTTTCTTGCTGCAGGTGTTGACATGAATATGAAAGGAGGTGTTGGAGAGGTTTCTTTTCCTGTTCTCCTATTTTTGCTTCAAATGTGATGGTTGCACTGAGATCTGCAATCCCCAGAATATCTTTAGCACAGAGAGGCACCTTAATACTCTCCTAGTCACACTTTATTCATCCGCCTTCCTCTGGCATTTGCACCAGCTGGGCTGTGGTACTGGTGCAGCATCTGTGAGTTGTCCCCAGTCCCAGAGCTGCTGAAGAGATTAAACTCACTAAAAGAACTCTGCTTCTTGGTAGTGCAGAGTTATGGGTTGAACAGCACAGAAACTCACCCCAAGAGCACAGCCTGACCAGCAAGGGAGGGCTTCCAGCTCCTGCTGCTGCTGAGTCCAACCTGAGCTTAGGGCACATCAGTGCTGTGCTAGAGAAGGCCCAGACACCGTGTCCTGCGAACAAAAGCCAGCTGAGAGAGCAGCTTTTGACTCTTGATTCAGTTTTGCTGATTGACAGAGCAGCATCAGCTGTTCTCTGAACATAAGCTCAGTTTACTCAGACAGGACCTGCTCTTTCCCCTTTGCAGCTACCGTTTCACCAGACACCATGGAGACTTTCCAAAACTCTCCTCTCTCCAGCAAACCCCTGTGCAGTTGGGAGGTCACCTTCCCATTCATTTTTTCCAGCTAGTGGGATGTGAGTGAAACCAAAATGAGCCCTTCCCCTGCCAGGAGCAGAGCTGCTTGATTTGGCCTGTCCCCACTGAATAAGCTTGTAAAGCATAAAGCTTGGTCATTTTTTTTGCATCTCACCCTCCTTCTTGTGTCCCACACTCCTCACTGCTGTGTTAGCCTGCAGGATCTCATGCAACCTCTAGAATCTTCTTGGAGATTGCAGGATCCTTTGTTCCTGTAGCTAATGCTCCAAAGTTTTGTGTTGTCCTCTGACTCTAGGCAGTGTTGGATCTGCATCTCCTGCTGCTGTGAACCCTGGCTCCATCACCAGGAGGTACAAAGTGACTGTTGTTCAGTCAAGAGGCCATGACTCATGTTCTTCCCTCTTTGCCTTGGGCTGTGGTGTCTCAGGGACTGAGGCAGGGAAGATACCTGCACCAGTCTGAGGTTGGGGGAAGTGAGTAGTTGCACACTCATCCATGGAGAGCATGATTATGGAAGACTTACTCAGCATAGAGGAAAAGCAGCACCTGAGTGGAACCAGTTGGGTGAAATGCAGTGGCCACGCTGGTGAGATCAAAGGTCTCTCTATCTTAGTGCCCAGGGGAGGCCAAGAGCAGCAGGTAGTGAGTGACCTAGACGAGAACTAAACATGTGAAAGATGAGTCTTCCCTTCATGTTGTCCTCCAGCTTTAGTCAGCCTCAGGATCCCTTTGGATGAGAGTGACCATCAGTCCTCCATCCTTCACCTGAGAGGAAAATAAAGACATCCTACAGAAGGTGACCTCTGGTTTGTGTGAGGAGGTCTCTGTGTGCTGGACAGGCTGCTGGAACAAGAGGTTTCTGCTATTCAGGAAGGAAATGAGGAGTTTTGTCTGCCTTGGTTCTGATTGAAATGTTTGTGTAAGAAACAAATGTATGAACTTACACACAGGGCTGAGAGGTGTTTCTCCATCCGTGCATCTGGTGGGATCTAGAGATTGTTGCATTGGTTCACATCAGGCATGAATAGTAAAAGTGAAGGTTAAGTGTAGTGAAGGTTAAGGTTCAGTTGTGAAGTGCAGGGTTATGGATCCAGTAAAATTGGTGTCCCCTCTGTTGCAGGACCTGTACAGTTGTGAAGTGCAGGGATATGGATCCAGTAAAGTTGGTGTCCCCTCTGTTGCAGGACCTGTGGATTCCTTACTTCACCATCACCACTGACATCACTGCCTCAGCCATGAGGGTCCACAGGGATGGTAAGTGTGCAGAGACCTTCTCCAGCTCTTAAATCATGATGTGAGGCTTCAGGGTCATCCCTTATTCCTGGAGTTTTTCTGACCTTTCAATATGTCTTTCCTTTTCTTTCTCCCTTCCCTGCCTGGAGATTTTCTGACCTTTCAATTTGTCTTTCCTTTTCTTTCTCCCTTCCCTGTTACTTGCTGAGCACCAAACTGTGGTTGTACAGAGATAACAAGGAACAGAGGTGTTGGAAGGAGTTAAGTGAGATGCTGTATTCCCTGTTCAGGGAGAAAATTAGTCCGTTGGCACCATTTTGTTTCCTTAAGGCATCCTATGAAGTGCAGGTGTTTTAACCATAAATCAGACTCAATGCAACCAAAAACTTTAAAAATTCAAATTCCCCACAGATGAAGCTGTTTTCCCAAGGAACACACTCCTGTGCCTGAAGCAGAGGTTGGGTTAGGTTCTTATTTGTGGTCAGTCCTTCTTTTTTCTGGAGGAAAACTGTGATGTACTTCAGTGAGTGAACAGAGGAGAGCGATCCAAGCTGCCCTCTCTGCTCTGAGATGTGGTGACAGCCCTGTGGGACACTGGCTTTGGTCTATTTGGGGTAACAGGGCAGTGACTCAGGCCCCAGTGAAGGAAGCACAGACCTACAGGTGCCCCAGATATTCCACTGGGGAGCTGAAGCCTTTGCTGCCACATGTCTGATGTTCTGTCCTTTGAGCTGGCACAGATAGGACTGTCCATTCCTGTCAGGTGGAGGTTATGGAGCCCCTGAAGGACACTGAGCTTTGATCAGGGACAACCAGGGCAACTAAAAGAAGCAGAAAAGGATTAACCCTTCTTAGAGATTTTTGTATTCCCATTCCACAGCAGGTTAAGCCAGTTGAGGTCAAGAAACTCACTCCATGCAGCTGTTTGTCCCTGTGGAAGTTTAATGCAAGGATAGAAATCAGCTGGATTGGTTGTGGTCATCTCCAGAAGTCACTGAAGAGAGAGGAAAGAAGTGCCCAGCTACTGCCATTTCCCACCTTGCTCTGTGCTGTGGGGTATAACACAAACACTCAGGAGTTTTCTGGGGTGCAAGTTCCAACTCAACTAAAACTATTCACAATAACCCCCCAATGTGCCACTGTGCTAACAGTAGGAGTTGCTGAGGTTATAATTAGAAACAGAACTGTTATCTATTTTTAAAGAAAAGCAAAAATCAATTCCCAGTTTGCTGGGAAGAGTTGCTGCTTGAAGCAGTTAATTACAGAGAACTGAGCTACCACTGCAAGGCTCACTTGATATTTTAAAGACTCACTTCTGAGACAAGACCTTTGGCCTGTGGAAATTTAGTGTCTCCCCAGTTCAGCTGATGCAAATGTTAAGAGGGAAATCAGTGTGTAAGAGCCTTAAAGCAGAATGTTTTACAGGAAACAGATCCAATCAACTTCTGCTTGATTAAACTTTGTTTCTAACAGCTTAAGGGATTATAACTTTGCTCCTGACAGCTCTGACAGAAATGGCCCAAGAGGAGATATGATCCTCACCAGGCACTGGAGGTAGTTTTGCAAGTGAAAATGTTTGCTTGTTACAGGGGAGGGAAAACAGAATTTTTGGGCTTTTACAGCACATATTTTTAACTTTCA